TATATATATATATATATATATTGTTTAGTTCAATTTAAAATTATTTAATACCTCAACATGCACACTTATTGTGAAAATATATAGATAAATTTTATATGTAAGAATAAAATTTATGGTTCCTCTGTCCCAAATTAATTGCTACATTTAAATATTTTTCTGCTGATAATTGATACTGATAATTCTTTGGATTTTGTTTTAATATTACTAACGATTTCAACGTGTTACGCTATCAATCAACGCAAACTATTTACTAAGCATTCACTGCTTCCTTATTAAATGATAGATTTAAAATCTCAGGGTTCGCAAGCTCTTAATCCCTTAACACACAGATTTTTTGAGAAAAAAAACCGACCAAAAAAAAAATCAATTTTTTTAATGTAAAAATACGCATTTTGGAACATTGTCTTTTCTTTGGAAGGACAATTTTGATATATTGCGCTTTTGTTCCATAGAAAAATGCTATATTCAGATATGCCAACTGCTTCTGACACACTAAAATAATTTCAAAAAACGGTAAATAGCTTCAAATTAAATTCTGCAATTATTTGACTATCTTTGCTTTCTTTTTAAAAGTAATAGCTTGACATTACTCTTACGTAGTGGTGAATTATATATACCTATGAATTATTTAGAAATAGTGGTGGGTAAAAATCTACTAAATTGGATTTATTAAACCAAGAATCGAAATTGATAAACTACCATTTTAAGATATATATTTGCTGTCCGGAGCAAGTTGGTATGTCTGTATATTTTGTTCCTGAATAAATTAGTGTTATAGCTTACAATCCTATGTAAATGATAAATACCAATAAAGCGATTTTTTTTCTTAGCTTTCACATTGTTATTTTATTCGAGTGTGAAAAATTATAGCAGCATAAAATACAACGCCGCTCGAATTATCTCGAGTGTGCACAGTTTAGCATGTTTAGCGCTCTCGACTCGAGCGCACAAGTTAAGGGGTCAATACACGTCCTATTTTGAAAAGACTTTCAACAGTAATCATATAAAACTGTCTGCTAGGTAATGAATCCTAAATTCCTCAGTTGTATACTTTTACTGACGTCAATCTACTAAACTGCTACGGAAGTTATTTATGACTACATCTATTTGAACCGTAGCTACTAATTTGGGACAAAATGTTTGACCTAAAAGTAGCAACTAATTTGGGACAGAGGGTGTACATATAATTCGGCTACCATAAAAAAATTTCAAACATTCTTATAAGGTTTTAGAAATTATGGAAAAAAGTTTTCAGAGGAAAATTTAGCTTTTTACATAGATAATAATAAGAAAAACGATAACATATATTTTTTAGTTTACTCTTTAAACAAAAAAATACATTTAATAGCCTTAAATCTGAATCATTGCAAACGATGAAAATTAAAGATGAAAATGTTACATTAATCCATAAAAGCAAGATTGCTAACTTCGTCAGTATTTAGCCGAAGAATTTTTCGGTATTATTAGAATTGCTCATCTTCTTTACAACTTCATATTCTATGTTAGATCCGATTAGAATAAATCACCAATCGAGGATACCTACTACCTAGAAAAATTAAATAGCTGCGACGAACTTTTCTCAAGACTGTTAAAAATTTTATTCATTTTTATAAAATCAGTCTCAAAATTTTCATAACATGATAATTTTTTAGACAATATTTTTAGGAGATATAAATACTTTAAAACGTGTATATTTAATCAAAATTTATCTACCATTTTAAAACAATTTCCAACCCAGGCTTAATCCGTGCCATATCAGATCTGACAAGTATAAAATCGTTGCGAATTTCACATTTTCACTCTAATTTAAAATAATTTTAACCACCACGATTTTTAATTATTTAAAGATTTACTCTTAACAGCTTGAGAATTGTTAAAACTGTAAGTACTGACAAAGTTTTTCTATAATTCGTTAACTTTTTTTTCACTATAAACATTGCTGTCAACCATAAAATTGCCCTTTCGTTGAGTTTGGCAAAAAGTACATAGGTAACTTTTCAGAAAATGTTATATTTTTTAAAACATTTAAAGTGCTTTTTTTAAAAATTTTGTTGCTAACTTTTTCTTAAAAAGACACTAATTCAGTTTAGAAATTTAAGCCTTCATTTAGCAGCTATCGGCCTTTTTTTGTAGGAAAGAAATGCCCAATTGGAAAAAATTCTTGTACAACATCAGCAAGTATTACTTATATGAAGATTCGCCTTTAATTGATGATCTCTTGCATGATATGGCCAACAAAAAGATCATTGCAGTAGGTAAAATTTATTCTCTAAATTTTTAACATAACTTTGTTTACTGATTACGCGCAAGTGTATTGTTATAAAAAATGTCTCCTCTATACTAAAATATGATAAATTTGATCCCATCTGGACATTTTCTCTTACTATCTGGAAGTTTTGTTTTTAATTTCGAAAATACACACGTTATAAATAACGACAAGGATTAGACTACCCCTTAAAGTGGTCGACCCCGCTGATGTGACATCACTGAACGCTGCTGCCCCCCACAAAATGTGCACATTGCATGTCAGTGAGCTGGTGTTCGGATTTTCTTATTTATGTGTTAGAAAAATATTTTTAGAGATTTTGCAAGTATCATAAATAAAAATGCAATCGACGCAAATGCAAGTATTATGTATAAAAATTCAAAATAAAATGCGAAATGCATGAAAATTTTTAAGAGTATTCAAAATGTTCTTAAATATAATTAGTCGCTTGAATTCTATTCAGGTCAGTGGAATATTAACCAGTGGCAGTTTTGAAGCAGATTAGGCATCGCCTCCACACGGTTTCTTATAAGTAGTCTGCGCAGACTATTTAAGAAGCGAACCGGTTGTGCGCATGAATCCAATTTCTGTTTTAACAGTGATTGAGAGAAATTTATCATATGTATTTGAGAATTGAATCTGTAGTGGTATACAAGTAAATAAGACAAACCAATCATTATCATAAATTAAACAAATTTTTAGACATATATTTGCTACCACTTTCCAATTTTTAATAGATTTCATATTAAATGGTTTTTTCAATAGTTGGTTTACCTTCATAGTGGTCTGATCGGACTACTTACAAAAAATCGTGTGGAGGCTTTCAGTTATATAAAAACGGTATCATGCTGACTAAATACGGTGCTCGTACACACTGGTCATCGCGTTGATGCCGGCTTAACCCGTTTTATCCCGTCTTTTTATATTGAAGTGGTGCAAAAAGTGGCTTTATGAAAAAAGTGGTATAATATGTTATTCAACTAAATGACAAATATCAACTGTGTGTTCTCATTTCAGTTTGAAATGTCCCTGCATCTTATAGTTATACATCTAGTGATAGAAACTTAAATCACTAAAAAATTATGGTGGAAGGGAAAATTTTAATTCTCCTAGATAAAAGACAAAATGGGAACAATTGTCCTACCACAATGTATGTTTTTGAAAAAGGAAATTGTCCTATAAATATGACGCTGGGCACTAACAGGTTAATTCGGTGCTTGTATGCACATGAATAAACTAGAACAGGACCTATTTTCCTGAAAATATACTAAAAAAATAAAAGAAAACGACAGTAGCATCTTTACCAGTTAAGTGAAATACGAAACTGCTGGAAAATATTTGCCTAATAAATATTCTGCGCTCGCAATTATGCAACCACAGCTTTTCAAATGTCTGTTTTCAACATAGTACCATAGATTTCCTTAACTGTGCTCTAAAAATGAAGTTTTATAGTATTTATTTAGTGGTAGTTAATAATGCGTTTCATAAAAGTATTTTTTTTGCATATTTTAAAAACAATATTTTTAAAAAATTTTATTATTATTCATAATTTATTCTTAAAATCAGTTGTGTTGCTAAAAAAAATTATCGAACTTCAATTTTAAAAATATGATTTTCTAAATCTAAAGTTCCCTTTAAAAAATAAACATACAGATCAGAAAAATTTTAAGACTTGATTTAGTTTTTTATAAGATAACGATGTTAAAAATGGTAATTTAAACATGACATATCTAACAGCCTACATCCAAAATCTCACAAAAACAAACGAATTTTATTTTCACTCATTTATTTTTATCCGTCATTAAAGAACAATTTAAATTGTTTCCTCAATAAAAAAAAATTAAATTCTATGTATTTTAAAATTTGCTGTAATGGTTCAGTATTTTTTTGCTGAGTGTCCGTAAAGTCATTATACACTTATATGATCATTAACTGATCAAAAGTGCACCGTGACTTTACGGACTTGCTGTACTTTGAAAATAATAAACCTATTTTTGTTTTTGCAATTCTTAGATGTGCATCCAGGTGGTACTCAGTTTAAATTAATTGTACTTTTTGAAGATGGAGGTCGAGCACTGTTCAAACCAATGAGGTCAGTTTAAAATCACGAAAATATTTTTTTTAGGATCAAGTTATCTGAGGATCATATCATTAGTCAGCACAGTAGTTTTTAAAAAAAATAAGCATAATGTTTCCAGTTTTACTAAGGCAGTATTTAAATATGTAAATAAACTATCAGTTCTTTCATAATTTCTATCTTGAGTGATTCGTTTGAAAGCTTTTAACAATATCTAATTAACATAAATTGAACTCTTCAGCTTCCCTAAAATAGTGCACTCTGGTTAATTAATGGAGTCTACTGACACACAAATAATTGCTACAAGAATGCAGTAGGTTTAGCACTCTTGCACACTTTATCACTCTTGCTGTAGGTTGAATAAAATATTGCACTCAAGCTAACTAATGCAATCTACTAACACACAAATAATTGCAACAAGAATGCTGTAAGTTTAGCACTCCCTCACACTTTATTACTCTTGCTGTAGGTTGAGCAAAATATTGCACTCAAGCTAACTAATGGTATCTACTAACACCCAAATAATTTCAGAAGAATGCTGTAGGTTTAGCACTCTTGGACACTTTATCACTCTTGCTGTAGGTTGAGTAAAATATTGCACTCTAGCTAATTAATCGAAACTACCGACACACAAATAACTGCGAAAAAAATGCTGTAGGATTAGCACTCTTGCCGCAAATAGCATTCCTGCATACTTTAGCACTCTTGTTGTAAGCTTAGCAAAATAATGCACTCTAGCTGTCTAATAGAATCTACTGAAAAATGCTGTAGGTTTAACAATACTATTCTTTCACAGACATTTTTCAGATATTTTCGGTAGTGGTAGGAAAGATAACTTCTTTAACTTTTTTATGAATTTGATTAGTACAAAATTTTTCACTGAGACACAAATAAATAGGGTTGTCACAAGCATATAATGACTGTTATTTTAATTAAAGTTTTTAAAATTAGCAATAGCATATTTTAGCATATTTCTTTTTAGTTTTCGCTTTGGAAAGTGAATTGCAAGAATTCACGATTCACGAAGATTGCATTATCTCGGTGTCTGCCACCGAAGGCGGCAATAAACCGATTTGTCGGAATTAAGTATGCCAAAAAAAAAATAATAATAAATGGACGATGGATAAATGGAGAAATTAAGTATGCCAAATTGAAATGAAATTGAGTGAGGGAAAAAAAGGAAAAGTGAAGGAAGAGGAGGAGCGTGCACGAGCATGATCGTCGAGGACAATTCACGCTGTGTCGTAATAATCAGCATCTATAGGGCAACGATAATGATGAGATACAGAAAAAGATAATGGGAGAAAAAATCTGAGTAAATAAAAGAATAATCAAACAATGGGCTATATACATAATCAAAGTCAACGATAGTGAGTAATGCAATTAAAAAGCGAAACGAAAAAGATGAAACTATTTACAAAGCGGGCTATATACATGTTGATGGCGATAAAATAACTAAGTACGAATAAAAATAAAAGAATATATACAAGGAATGTGTACAAAGGACGGACACTAAGCGTGATTTCATGACGAATAGGGCAAAGGAGGTATGTGGATAACAGGAGAAGAAGCTTATCGAAAGGAGCATCACTTACTACATCAGAAAGCCTCCACACGGTATTTTATAAGTAGTCTGAGCAGACTATTTAAAAAATGAACCAATTGTGCGCATGAACCCAAATTATATTTTGAAAGTAATTGAGAAAAATTTATCGTATATAATAGAGGAAAAAAAAATTATCTGTAGGGGTTGACTAGTAAATAAGGCAAGCCAATCATATTCAGAAATTAAACAAATATTTAGACATATGTTTGCTACCACTTTATTATTTGTACTAGATTTTGTATAAATAGCTCTTTAATCAGAACTCCAATAAAAAATCATGTATAGGCAACGCCTTCTATAACTGAAAGCCTCCACACGGTTTTTTATAGGTAGTCCGATCAGACCACTGTGGAAGATATCCACTTTCCGAACGAGTCACTTAATACAAAATCTAATTAAAATAGGAAAGTGGTAGCAAATATATGACTAAAAATTTGTTTTATTTATGAATATTATTGGTTTGCCTTATTCACTCGTCAATAACTACAGATTCAATTCTCAAATATATATAATGAATTTCTGCCAATTACTTTTATAAAAGGTTTTGGGTTCATGAGCACAATTGGTTCACTTTTCAAACAGTCTGCGCGGACTGCTTATAAAAGACCGTGCGAAAGCTTTTTGATGTAGGAGGTGATGGTATAGGTTATTCCAGAGTCACCAACACAATACACACAGCGGATAAATATTTTCGAGTGGTAGTTTATTAATTGTAATTCTAGGTTTAATAAATTCAATTTATTAGGTTTTTATCCAATATTATTTCTAAATAATTCGAAGACTTACATGATTCGCCACTTGTTAAAGTTAAGTCATGCTAAACCTTGTGAAAAGGGATCAAAATTAGTACAATATTTGCAAATTTTAGTTTATAGTTATTTACCGTTATTTTGGCGTGTCTGGAGTAGTTGGCATCTGTGTTACTCCCCCAATGAGGTGGTTGACGGTAAAAATAGTCACAAATTAAAAATTGCTTTTCCTTTAAATATCAAAAGTTTGAAATGCAAATTACCTTCTTCTTCTTTATTTAAATAAACTGGGCACCTGGACCGCGAAGTGGCCCCTATCTCATTCATCATTAAATTACATGCAGTAAGGTAAAATACATTGATTTGGCAAACATTATGGTAGCCATGAAAAATCAAGCCGTTTGCTTGTGAAATAATAAAACAATGAAAAAATTCAATATGACAAATTGACGATTTTACATAACATTATAAATATTGATTGTAGACTTAAATTAAAAATAAAGATAAAACATGATTTGATGTGTACAAAAATTGATTTTTGAAAAATGAAAGACATAATTGATGAAAATGTAAATTGCCAAATATATTGAATTATTAAAGAGATAATAAATAAACAAAAATGAACTGTCATTTTCATTAATTTATATTTTGAACATAATTATTTCATACTTTTATTCATTACTTTATTGATCTTTAGATTTCCAAGGCATGTCGAACGCAATGAAAATGTCTTGTATTTAGCTGACTACGAACGACATGTGAGTGAAATTGCTGCATTTCATTTAGACAGGTATTCATTCGCATTATATTGGGAAATATAGGGAATATTTTTTCTACTTTGAAGTAAATTTCAAAACAAGAAAAATTAAACAAATAAATAAAAAAATACTTTTAAAAAGTTTATAATAAAGACTGTAACTGGCATTTCCAGAAGCATATATTTAATCAGGGAATAAAATATTAAGAGCTATATTCAATATATGTATGATCAGTGTAACGGAATTGTTTTCTTTTTTTTACTTCACCAATAATATTTTCGTTCGTTCGTTGTTTTAGAACTGGGCATCTGGGACCTAAATGGCCCTTACCAATAATATTTTATCCTGCGTTACTTTTATTAAGTTTGCAGGAATATTTTAAATAAAGTGGTAGTTAATAAAGTAATCAGAGAATTATAAACTCAATCTTCTGATAAATCTATAATAAAATAGCTGCTTGTTTTCTTCTTACCCTGATTTTATCAAATGTGAGAATGTCACTTACTGTTTCATCTACTAAGCTCTTCAACTAATTTTTTAGTAATAGAAAATGTTTGAAAAGTAAAATGTTTTTTTTTTCCTTCAAAAACTTCATCTGAATATTCAACTAATACAAAGTAAGCGTTAAAGTTAGGTTAATTCAGGGTTCATATTTTATATTACTTTCCACTTCATTTTTGAATCAAATGTAAAATTAAATTAGATAGAGTTTAATTCGTTGACACAGGTTGTGGAGTGCAATTATCAATACAATTAATTGCACTCCATTTTAAATAGTGGGTATTTTTATCTTAAATTAAGGGTTATCTCAGAATAAGGTAAATCTCTTAACAGGAAATTTGGTTTTCCATATAAAACATAAAAATACAACGCTTAAGAACTGTTATTCATTGTGGTCGCCAAAATTTAAAAAAAAGATAGTAAATAAAGATTTAAAACTAAGGTAGCCATTTTGCTATAAAATAATCCTAGGACACAACCAAACTACGCTGCATTTCATTATAAAAGGCGTACTTCAAATAGGCATAACTTTTAAACTGTTTTGCAATTATTTAATGGTATATAAGTTATATTTATTTTAATAATTAACTATGAAAACTGTGACCAATCAACATTTGCTTTTAAAATAAGATTTCAAAATTGGAAAAGATTATTGGGATTTAATTTTTCGCATTATTACAAAATGGTCTCTTTGGTGAAAAACATATTTTATTTAATGACAAAAAAAATGAATAGGATTTTTAAGAAAATGTAGATGAAGTTGTAGTGCTAACCTAGCGTAATGAATAGATTTGGTTTAAATTTCATTTTAATTGAATCGGGTATTAAATCTTCGAAACCAAATCTGCGATACTATAATAAAACATTTGGGATCTTCCAACTAAATACTATTTAATTTAGACGTAATTGCACATTTAATGTTCTTCCAACTAAATACTATTTATTTATACGTAATGACACATTTAATGTTCTTCCAACTAAATACTTTTTAATTTAGACGTAACAACGCATTTAATGTTCTTCCAACTATATACTATTTAATTTAGACGTTACAACACATTTAATGTTGAGAAATAATACATGATTTTATTAATCTTGAAGGTCTGTGAGCGAGGCGAGCAGAAGGCAGATCCCTTCAGTGTATATAATGCAAGTTTAATACTTACTTTGTAGCGTTAATGTAATAATTATCGAAAACTTATAATTATTTTTTACATACTGAAAAGTGTAAAGTGTACTATGATATTTTTTTCATATCCATTAATTAAAAAAATTGAAATTAGTCTTTTAGTTAATTAGAAATTAATTAATTGAGTTAGTCCCATTAATTAAAATTAGTCTTTATTTTAATGAAAATATTCATATCATCATTTGATAATTTAGGCTTTTAGGTTTTCGAAGAGTACCTCCAGTTGTTGGGAGAAAAATAAATATTACTGGAGAGCTTTTACCATTAGTTTTGGATGATATCTATATGGTTGATACATTCTTTTACTCACCAGGTAAGTGTCACATGTTTCATATTATAAGTATACAGAGGGTATGTCATGTGCTAACTTTTCATTTGTTTCTGTTACACAAGGGCAAAATTCAGATGGAGCGTGGAATCTTCGCGCCACCACAAGTTAAGTCATATCAAGATGTCATATAGTATAAAATATTTGAAAGAAGTATTCCAGCTTCCAAAAATGAAAAAAATTCGGTTTAACATTATAATATGAGGGTTACCGACCCATACGAAATTTCTGCCTGTGAAAAGAGTAGACCATTTGAGCAACTTAAACAGTGCTATCACACTACAAGTTTGAGATAAACAAAGATATTAGCAGTGACATTATTTAGGATAACTAAAGAATTTACGATAAATTTTACACTATTTGTTCAACGCTGTTTGTCCTTCACAGTGTTAACCGTAAAGAGCAAAAAACCTTAAAGTGTGTTGCCCATACGAAATGTGTGCCCGTGAAAAGAGTAGACCATTTGGGAAACTTTAATAGTGCTATCACACAACAAAATTGAGATAACAATGACATTATTCAGGATAATAAAAGAGTTCACGATAAATTTTACACTATTTGTTCGCCGCTGTTTTTCCTTTACAGTGTTAACCGTATAGAGCAAAAAAACATAAAGTATGTTGCCTATAGGATATGTCTGCCCGTGAAAAGAGTAGACCATTTGGGAAACTTTAATGGTGCTATCACACAACAAAATTGAGATAAACAATGATATTATTCAGGATAATAAAAGAATTCACGATAAATTTTACACTATTTGTTCGCCGCTGTTTTTCCTTTACAGTGTCAACCGTACAGAGCAAAGAAACATAAAGTGTGTTGCCGATACGATAAGTCTGCCCGTGAAAAGAGTGGACCATTTGGGAAACTTTAATAGTGCTATCACACAAGTTTGAGATAAACAATGACATTATTCAGGACAATAAAAGAGTTCACAATAAATATTACGCTATTTGTTCGCAGCTCTTAGTCCTTCACAGCGTTCACCGTAAAAAGTAAAAAATGATATATACACATGATATACGCATTACTCTTACCTTTTTCTACTTAAAATCGCCCCCCGCTGCAGCTAACAAATGTACTACCAGCCTATAAAACTCCAGGTAAACGGTAACTAATCAGAAGCTCAAAAGAATGGGTTAAAACCTAAGGGAAAACAATTGTCTCAATTGCTACTCCTGGATCAAAATGTGACCTTTCAAATGTTTTAGTTCATTCAATATTAAATTAGAAATAAACAACTGTATAGATGCTAAAGATTAATTTATTTTCATTTATTTACATGAATAAATTTTAGAAAAAATTAAAACGAATTTGTCTTTAATATCTATTAATTTCAATTGCAAAATAAATAAATAAAATAAATAAATATTTCTTAGGAAAAAAATTAAATATCAGACAACCAGAATCAGCTTCTATAGTTAAATCCAAAATGAAAAAATAAGTAATCAATCCAAACAAATATACAAAACAAAATGTATAGCAAATAAAATAATAATAAAAAATTCACAGGGAAATATTTTTAAACAAATTAATTTTATAATTGTGAATTTTTCGATTTGATTCAAAACATACTGAGATATGGTTAAAGACGCAGAAATTGAAGTTCACATTAAGGAGCCAACATTTTCCCCAGATCTCCTGAGGTAGTAGATTTCGAAGAATATTTTCCAGATTGCGGCTACCTCCCATGTTTTGATTGTTAGAAAAATAAAATTCTGTTGAAAAAAAGATATGTTCATTCAGAGAAAGAACTTTTTTCTGTCTGTCTCTAAAATTTAATTAAAAGTAAGCTATATTTAATTTGTTTGTTTGTTGTACCCCTTTTGATCCTTAAAGAATGGCTCTTAGTTGATGAAAATCCGATCAGTCAAAAAAAAAGTTGTTCAAGGTGACTTCTTTTTAATTTTGCACACTTTACATACAAAAAAGAAGCAGTACTAGTCTGTGACAGAATTCAAAGCTGCCAACATTGAAATCTAGTTCTTTATTGATATTACTACCATCCATGAATTACTAATTCATGGAATGTAGTAACAATGCTATGCAACACCATATAAGGGATTACCAACAGCTACGCTTTTTCCGAAATATTTTATTGAGAGGTTGAAAACTAAAAATTAAGGCTTGCATCATTTTTAGTAATTTTGCAAACATATTAATAGTCTCACCAAGAGAGAATAAATTTTTTAAATATTTTTTTTAGGTCTTGCATATTTGCTTCAATTCTTCCTACAGACAGATGATTAAAATCATTACAAATCAAATTTTGACAGTGTTGAATAAATTTTTAAAATGTTTTTGATTATCACTTTAAATATTCATTAAAACCTCCCGTTAACCTCGTTGATACGGACGAGTCATATATGCATTCTCAGGATGGCGATAATCAGGGTAAAAAAAGCTATTTTATAGCAGTTTATTTGTGGGTGGGGAAATTACAACATAAACTCCATGAAGTGGAAATTTGGTGCACAAAATGGAGAATCAAGCTTCATCCTGATAAGAGCAATTTAATCATCATTGATGGTAAGAAGTGCAAAAATAAGATGGCAAGAAGTGCAAAAATAAGATACCAACGATCGAATTATATAACACTAAAATCACCCCAGTTAAACAAGCTAAGTATCTTGGAATTACAATTTCGAACAATCTTAACTGGAGTACTCACATCAATGAGTCCATTAGAAAAGCCAGAAGTCCGTTCTACGCTCTAAAAGCACTTTTAAATAAATATTCAAAGCTATGCCTGCAAGTCATTCGATCAATTTTTACCTACGCTAGCCCCGCCCAGGGCTGAAAGCACATATATATCAAGACGGAATAGAGTAAAAACTGGTATCAAATAATATAAATTTTTAATTTTTTTTTCGGGAATAATAACTACCAATATCTATAACTACCAATTGATTTAACGAATATAAGTTTTGTACAGAATTGCTCATTCGGCGAGAATAAATTAAATACAATGAATTGTTTATTATTAAGAATAGAATAACTCCTCCCGAATATTATGTAATATTGAAATAGCTCTCCAACCAGTATTTTCTCTTTTCCGTCCCGCTTTCAGGCCTGGCCCCACCCTAACCAGTGATAATTTAAAGAAAAAATTGTCATACACAGAAGGCAAATTTTTAAGATACATGACTGGTGCCCAAGAGCTATCAGCAACAGACTGCCAAGGAAGGATCTAGACATAGAAGAAATTAATTGCTTTATTGCCAAACTCAACAGTAAATTCTATATAGCGACGCTGGAAACTGTACGGCATCGAACTTCAATCAGTTGCTAGACATCAGCTTAATAGACGACAACATTAAATATAGCCCAGTAACTCCTCATGTCAGATTGTATCATATCAAAATATTACAAATGATAGTACCACTGTTTTTTAACTCTTATATACTATTGACCCTGGGGATCTCCCCCGTTAATTTTGTACCAGTATAAGCTTATTCCTTCATGACTGTTGAGCATAGAACAACCAGAATAAGATTAATCGGTTGGTGGTGCTACGTGCCAAATACTGAGGTACCCTACATATCCAGCATAGGTGGGGTAATTATAGATTGCTTTATTTAATTTACCACTACTTAGTTCGAATTAAAAACTTTATAGTTACAATTTTAACGCAGGTAATTTGGATAAGGGCCATTTAGGCCTCAAATGCCCAGTTTTACGACGAACGTAGATTGGATGTGTTAGATTTAAAAAGTGAAAGCAAAAATAAATCTGTCAAATATGCTATGACCAAACGTAAGCTACCGCTTCTTATTTTTTACCATACTGATTCCTTACGAGTTCGTTTATGACTTGCCCTTCCCGAAAAGATTAAATGTGATAGAAATTTACTAGTATGTGTACAAAAATGAAATGCTTCATCTGTAACCTGTTATACTTAGAGGACTTGAATATCCTTTGTAAACAATAGTAAACACTTAACCCTTTGACGGTCAGGGAAATGAGCAGTATTACGAGCGAGTAAGTAGTCGAAAGAGGCAGCTGTTTTCCCTCGCCGTTCTTCCAAAAATGTGATCCTTTTCTGGCGATGCCAACAGCTCCGCTTTCTGGAATTGTTATAATAAAGTGGTAGCAAATTATATAGTAAAATTCGTTGGAGAAGGACAGTTGAGCCTACTTTTTACTAGAGTAACCAGTAGATTGTTGCTTTAACGTTGCATTTTATATGATACTTATAATTTTTGATATTTAGTGGTAAAAAAATTACTTAAAAGTAAAAATACTAAACTGAAAGTAACTTGAATTCTTGAATTTCATTATCACTAGGAAATACTATTTTACAAAGCGGAGCAAGTTAACATCTCTGGCGGTGTCGTAGATAGCTCGCCTCACGAGTTTTAAAAATTTCTTGAAATATTTGTAGTACATAAATAACAGTTTTCACGTACTTTAAAATAATAAATGATAATTATTAATAGTAAATTATAAATGATTATAATCAATTACATAAATAATAGTTAATTATAAATATAAGACAAATATTAAATTGAAAGGACTAAATAAATTCATTTTTAACATACTCAATGCAGAATAATAATGGCGAGCGAGATCAGCTCGTTAGCAAGCATTAGGGAAAAATTTCACTACGCGAGTAATGCTCGTTACTAACCATTACGGTCGAAATCTTGCTCTCGAGCAGAACTCGTTTGCGCGCATTATGAAGCACGATTCGATTGCGAGCCGAACTCGTTCATAACCGTCAAAGGGTTAATGAATTAAAAAACAAAATTTGATGTCTTTTATTTTACTTCGTCATTTTCCCATTCATTATGAAGGATTACTCATTTTTTATGCATTCATTAGCAGTCAACGAGGTCACTTTCAAGATTATATTATTATTGCCAGCTTTATTTCCTAAAACTGGGCACCTGTTTTATGAAATAAACCAGACCCTATCCCATACATCATGAAATATTAAAACATTGAGTTGCAAACATATTGAGTTTAGCAAAATTGTGGTAGGT